AGTGGTCAGTTGAGACCCTCCTGCATTCCCCATCAATTCCTTTTTCTTTTCCCCCGACGCTCCCCAGACGCGATCTACGCGGGCTGACCTTCATTGTCAGTCTCTTGAGCGACTGCTAACCATAGCTTCCGTTACTGGTATCCCGTAAATTGCCAAGCGTCGGCTGTGTTTCTTATTGAAAATTCTCCATTCTTTACGTCGGAATGCCGCCGCTTGCTTCAGAGCTATATAAATTGCGCTTTTTAGCGTAATCATGTAAATAGAGAAGTAGAGTAATAAAAACAAAAGAAGGCATTATCAATAAAATTCATCAAAATTAATACCAGGATCGATGATGTGGATTTTAGAGAAGCGCAAATATATTCAAATTCTTGGTCTTCAAGAATCGAGGACGACATAAAATTAAATATATATAATGTATTAAAATATGCGTAAAATAAGAAACGATATTTTCGCGCTTTTATGTTTCTCCGATTTAATGATTTGCGACGAAGTTGCGTAATAAGCGCGGTCACCGCGGACGCTTCACTCAAAAAAATGATCTTGCAATAATAAAATAAATAAAATTTTCTAGGAGTAAAAAATTAACTAAAACAGATAAATGATTAGCAACTGTTGTGATATTGCATATGTAATTACTTAATCAGTTTAGATGACAGAAACAGAATATATATCTGTATTGTTTGTGAACTTTAAAAAGAAAGTTTCTCTAAAGCGGCTATCTATATAAGATCAATCACGTGTTAGATCATGCAATGAATAACATTTAGCAATGGTACCTAAATTTTTCAGAAGCTATTGCTAGAACATTACTGCTATAAATTCTATATGTGACAAACAATGTTTTCACAGATACGAAAAATAGCGATACATTCTTGTTGCGATATCTAGAAATCTAACTACATCAGCGAAATATTTTTTTGAGTGTTCGCGGCCATGCTGCAAATTTACTGAATCACATTAAACGGGGACTGACGCATCTTTTTCGTACGATCGTTTTCCGGAATTACGTGTATTCGGGTAACCAGTCAATGAACTCGGCGTGCATTAATTAAGTGACGCAACGCTTTCGCCCCACCGCGAGTCTTCTTCTCGAGAGACCTTCTCTTTCTATTCTTAGCTGAAGGCCAGAGGAGCGACTTTTTCCTTCAATTTTGGCCATTCTTCGCGACTCGTTTCCAACCGAGATAAGTAATGAACGTTTAACAAGGCCGGGCGAACGTCGCAAGCGCGGCGCGACTTTCGCGCGCGCACTTTCGTCAATCCGGAAGCGACAAATAATACCTCTCGTAGATTAATATAGCCACTGAGTTTTGCCGGGCATAAAAATACATAATTACGAGTTAGGTAACAAGATACTTCATATTCATGTATCTGCTTAAAAAGACGATAACCGGCTGATAAAGCGCCAAGTTTGCTATCGTGAGAATCGAGCACGTTTAGGATAAGAAGTGAACTACTTCAAACTCGTGGTAACTGCGAATTTTTTACGCCTCCGTGAACGTTCTGAGCAAGATTATTTTATCGGCGTGCTAACTAATTAGGCCGCAAGATGTAATATACTCATTCCGAGTACACAAGAGCGCGCATAATAAATAGCAATAGTCTTTTCTCTAAACTGCACAGTGCGCAGTGCGCTCGGCCACTGTGCAAACAGAAAGATTACCGCTAATCTTAAAACGCACACTTTACGCTCTCTTCGCTGATGACTGTGAGACTTTTGCTCTCGCCCGCGAGTCGGCGAAAAATTAAAGGGAACATTGTGAATGACAATCTTCTCTCTTCCTGCGTAAACGGCGGTCTTTACGCGCGCTCTCGCGGGAAATGAATTTCAGCGAACCTAACGCGGCGAAACTTGACACGCCGCGGCGATGCCCTCGGACGGTCGGCAATTAAGAGGCGTGATTTAGGGGCATGTGGTCTGTGCTTTAATACGCGCGCGAGAGTTACACCCGCCTTTATCCGACTTTTATGCGCTGAACGTGAGAGCGCGGCGCGTTGGCATGCGTCTTACGCCATCCCGGTTCGTCGGTTTTGCCTCCACGCCGTCCTGCTCGCTTCTATGAATTGCACGGCGTGCGTGCGAATGCGCCGCACGATCGCGGAAAACAGCCGTGTGTATCGCGCGCAAAGTACGTCAGTGAATGAATCGTGAGCGATCGTCGGCGTGTATCGGCCGCGCGCCGCGCCTCGCGTCGAAATATTTTTCACTCGTAGGCTGAAGATACGCTTTTTCCATAATACTCACAATTTAACTCGTCACTTTTTTGTCTATGCTTCTTTTTTTTCCTTCAGTCCGCAGGCACTTTGCGGAATCACCGAAATCTGCCGAGTCTCTCCTTCGCCACATTGTTGCAATTTGCGGTAATGATCACTCGCACGGCGTATTCCCGTTGGCAGCCGATGTCGGAAATTATACGCTGCGCCGGTGTTGCGTGCACGAAAAGAATAAAGCGCGAGTCGCGCGTTATTACGGCAACCGATAACTCATACGGGGACGTGTAAGAGAAAAAAAGAAGGAAGATAGAATCGACGTGGGCGTGCACGGTTATTAGAAACAGTATCCCGTCGCGGAGCGGTAATTGAATTGTGGCTTCCTACCGCGGAAGTCTCTATCGCGATTCATTCGCAATGAAATCCGGCACGCCGGGCACGGCACACTAGCCTACAATACGCGCGAGAGGAAAGTACTCGCGCGAACTTTGCGAGCGATTCGAGAAATTGTCAGAATACTGAAATTCACCGTGTGTGCGCCATTATGTCGGTTACGGTTCAGGGTCTTCGGGGACCATAACTCTCTGTCTCATGCGTCTCTGTCGCGGCTGATTTCTCGTTATGCAAAACACAACGACGTCTCGGCACGCCCACCGTAACAAATCCAATTTAACGCACGCCAGCGTCGTGAATTCCTAATACTCGGCGATTGGTGGCTTCATGCTCAATTGATTAGTGGGAAAATCGATTTCTCTAACCGGGCTGTTACGTGACGCGTTACAAGGCGAAAATTGCACTTCACGGGCTGTTTCAGGCAACAAAACGTATGAAGTGTTTTGTACGAATCGTAGAATTATCTGGAATTACAACCGGCCACAGTTTATTGTGCCTAATTGTGGGTAAGATCGGTGCGCCGTACTTAATAAATCCGCCGCTTGCATTTTATTTTATCCAGAGCGACCGCAATTTCGATACTTCCTGCCGCTTATTAACAACTCCGCGCCGGATACTTAAAGAAGTATCAATTATTCGTACGTATCCCAGTGTACTTTCGCTTGTTACAAAATCATTTGAGCGCTTTACAATCGCCCACATGCCGCGGCGCGCGGGCGTCGCGGCGCAGCGACGTTCGGACTGCGTGCGCTACGCGATTGCGTGCGGGATTTCTTGCAATTAGGAGCCATCACCGGCCGAAGTCGGAAACGTAAGTCGCGTGGGTAAAAATCAGTAATGTCGGCTGCCTCGGGGATAGTCGACTTCCAGAACGTTTCGCCGCACGTAAGGTAGCGAAATTTTACAATTCGCGAAACAGCGCTCTCGGCTTCGCGAAATTGTCTTTTTACTCCGCCGTTCGTATCTTCTTTTTTCTCTCTTCTTCGCCGCGCCTCTCGTGACGCGAGATACTATGGAAAAACGCTTGCGGAAACGTTCCGACCGTGAGACGGCACAATGCGAGTTAAGTTGACACGTAACGTCGTCAATCTTCGTTTTACAAGTGGAAATTACTACTTTGTACACCGTGCGCCCATACAATATGTAAGCGAGTAAGTTGCAGACCTTGAAATCCAATCCCGAAATATTCTCGATGGATTTATCTCGTGATTTCTTGATTTCGTGTCGATAGACGGCACTGACCGCTTCATTAATCGCGCATAAAAAAAAGATCGAATCCTTTGATAAATAATATTGACCACCCATGTTTTCTAATTTTAATTTAAAAGCATGCTATTAAATTTGTTTCTTTCGCCGAGACACCGTCACAGCCGTTTTAAATTTTAAATGAACCGAAGTTTGCTGCGTTTTATGATTAATTCACGACGATTTAAGATAATTACGAAACAGATAAAAAAGAAAACCAATATGGCGAAAAATTCAGCGGACGAACCGTGCGTGCATCCGGCGATATCTTTCGCACCGAGGATACGCGATTGTTTCTATTTTGCTTTTTAGCATCCGTGTTCCTCGTTAAAAGCTGTCATCATTCACGCGCTCCGGAGACCCATGACTCGGAAATAGCGTTATCTATCAGTTTCATCAATCACGCCGCTGAGTGCGCCTCTATTAACGCGACTCATTACTCCTCTGTCGCCCGAGAGTTAACTGAACGTATGCGTGTCTCTAAACTCGCCCAAAGGTTAAATAACCAGTCGCAAGATATTTTCTTCGGATTTTATCTCGTAACCAACACATATAACATTCAGTTCTACAAGCTTGTGTTTAGTACTACATAATGTAATTCTGCCCGCGAACAAAGTGAGTTTAGTATAATCCTAATCCTACATCTATGTTAATCACAATCCTTTACGTTAACAAGCGTTCGCGCAGCAGTGCAATCGCGCAATAGCAACAGACTTACATTGAGTCGCAGGTATCCGGAGTAAGAATTAAAATCGACATAATTTCCGTGAGGTTAATTAGATGTCGGAAAAATGTACTGTGCGCTGATCATATTAAATTTGCATCATAAATAAACATATCTTTGTATGTTTATGATGTAGAAATCTAGACTGCATCCGGACTGACGAAGAAAGTAGAACCGATGCACGCGGCATTTACAATTTCATCGTATTTCAAATACGAGATTAAATCGTTCGATTGATAAAATGCTCACGTCACATTTAATTTGCATGCACGCGCGCATCTCATAAATATGTGAAAACGCTGCGCGCCCGATTCCGTTACACTTACGCGTAATCGCTTAATCCATTTTGCGCGGTCATCTAATCTCGCGATTTTATCTCGGGGGGAACGTCGAAGCTGATGGTTTTAATTTTCTGCCCAATTAGGTGTATCCCGGATGGCGGGGACGTCGGTTACACGATGACGGAGTTGCAACCGTCGCCGCCAGGATATCGCGTCCAGGATGAGGCCCCAGGCCCACCTTCCTGTCCCCCGGGGTCCTACAAGTACGCGAGCCACGGCCACGGGAGCGAGGCTGCCAATTTCAAGAGTGCCACGTCGTATTCTCAGGAAGGCTATGGCCTTAAGCAGAGTCCGCCTCGGTCGGTGGCTCCTAACGAATACTATCGTCGCAGAAACGACGGGCGGCGATCCGGCGGCACGGAGAACGATCAGGAGGGCGGCGGCGGCGGCGGCGGCAAGAAGACTGCCGCGGTTGCCGGTTACAACGACGGTCACAAAAAGAATACTCCGGGCTATAAGAACGACAGCGGGTACGTGCTCACGATTACGCGCGCTTATTTGCCCGACGTCCGCTCACGCGAGCTCTTTCCCCGGTCGCCTCCGCTCTATCCTCGCCGGCGCGAATTAGCGTGAGAGAGATCCTCGAAAAAGCGATTCGCAGATCGAGAACTGTAATAATAGGATTAGCTGTGGATAATAGGATACGACATTTATCAAGCGAGGTCTGTTTTGTCGCCCGTCAATGTATAATGCATCCAGCCGGCAGTGCGTTGCAGTTTTTCCGGCGTGAACGGTATATCGTGGACAAAATAAAATTGCGGAACACACAACGCCGAGGAAGTACCCCCGATTATGTTGAACTCGTTGAACTGTACTTCTGCAAATTATGCAGTCCGCACATATCCTGCTAATAAAATAGTTCAATGACATCGCGCGTGAAACATCGCGGTCGCGTATTACGAGTGATTCATCGGGTGGGGCGCTAATAAATAGACGATTTTACGTCCGCATGTAATTGTTTCCACGTAGAGCGAACGTTGCGTCACGCGCGTGCTATTTCTGCAACGGTTCTACGCGGAGTGCAACGCGTGCGCACGTCATTTTAACGCCGCGTCTCCATGCTTGTCTGTTTTATTAGATACAGCGAGAGTCTCGGATTCGATAGCTTCACGCTCCCGCTTAATGAGAGGGACGAAGCTTCGCCACCGCCGACGCCGCCAGTCAGGGATGCCTCCAGTCTCAAGGGCGTGTGTTACGGGCCGGGACACGAGAAGTATCCGTCGTGGCCGAGCGCGCCTGAACGACACTCCGATCAGGATAGCCACAGCTCGGGACACAGCGGCTCTCATCGCTCCAAGTCCTGGACCGACTACACCAACTATCCGAAGGAGAAGCCAGCGCAGTACACCAGACCACACACGAAGAGGCCCAATCCCACGTTCACGCAGCAGGTAATTTATAAAACCCTTCTCGTTTTTCTCCGGTAAAATGATCGTTACGTCGTCTCGCTTTTGTACAATCCAAACGCAGACCGCGCATTTCCATAGCGGTGTAATGTCGTAATTTTCTATTAATTAGATGCGCAAAAGGTATCACGAATACGCGCAATTTCCATTTAATTCCATTTCAATTATCTTTTTACATTAAACGATGAAGTATTTATTATACGCTTTTGCATCGCAATGTAAAGAGAGATAAGAGTTTCGTAAGGGAATAACTGCGGCGATTAACAAAAGAATGGATAACGTGTAATATGAACGGCGAATAAGAGGCGCTTATTGTTGCCCCTGGCGATCAAATTGCACTTTTAAAATATTTCTAACTTGTGTCACTCGCGCGCGATTTGCATCAGCTCGATTTCTCTATAGACTTCCCGCTGTACACAGAATTCGCCGTGTCAGTCGTTCTCGATTGTCTTGCCGGTTGCAAAATCGAATCTCGTTTACATGACGCCGAATACGTCGGCAGCATAAACAAGTCACGAAGCGACGGAGCTTATCGGCGCACTTTCAAGCGAATTACAGAGTTTCACGTCAACACCATCCACGTGTTTAACAATTAAGGGGGCTTAGTGCCGGGCGAGCGTGCCGGTGTTAAGAATCGGGATCACCGCGGGGCAAGACCTTGGCGTATACGTATTGTGTGCTGCGCCCTAAAACGACGCACGCAATTAATCTCCCACACCCGCACCCTCCTTTCTCTCGGTGACATAATCGCCGTCGCGCTACCGGCTTTCTCAAAAGTAGGCCGTGGTATTTCGTCGGTCCGACCCGCATCGCGCCATAAATTCCGGTACATACATACAGCAACTGGTGTAACAAGGGAGCGAAAGAGAGTGGGCTAAAAAAACAGGAGAACGCTAAAATTAACCCGGGCCGTTCCCTTTTTCCGTCAATCCGAAGGTTTTATTAGATCGGCGCTGTTTCTATTTTTAGAGTGCGCGCGAATTAGATCCTTTCGTGCCGATGTATTTTAAGATCGACAACTTTTTATCTTCCTCGCCGCGGGAGCGAATTACGCCGAGATCGTGAGTCACAGACACTATCTCGACACTGTAAGCTGTAATCTTCACGCGTGTAACAAGTATGTGCCATTTGCGCAGAAATATTCTTCTCTCAATGCGAAAATTTATATATAATATTTTACTTTTTATTACTATTGTCCCACTTTCAATCTTATTTGCATTGTAAACGTCAGCTTCGAAATAAAAATCGCCTCGGCAGGTGCTACTTTCTAAAACATTTGCTGATTTTCTATTACATTGCAAAAATTGAATGTTGCAGCTGAAGACGGTAATGGAGCGTTGCGAGAAGATCCCGGCCGAGACTTACGAGTCACGCAACAGAAGTGGTGTCGAGGAAGAACCGAGATTGTGGCCGCGCGTGGATCGCGAAGGTAAAGCTTTGGGAGATGCGGAATACGTGGTTCCGTCACCGCCGGAGCGAGAACAGCAATCTCAGACTTTGAGTCACGCTGACCTGGAGGCTTACGTGAGAAGCTATCAGGACCCTCAGGTGTCCCAGGTAAGACGAAATACACAACGAACATTTGTACAAGGAACGAGATAAAAAATGCTTAAAAAGGAATACCGCGTTTGTAATGCTTAGCAACTGTGAATTTAATTACTTCGTCTCATTAAATGCTTTAGAGTACATCACATTTTATTGTCCATTAGGTGGACCTCTATCGCGAGACAATCTTAACGCAAGCGGGTCTTGAAGAATACACGAGGGTGCAGCATTCTCAGCAGGCCAGCTACGCACAATCCGAAGGATATCACAGTTACGTATCCAGCGTGGATTCTACGACGAACACGCCGTTTCTCGACAGGTGAGAGACCGCCTTTATACGTCATCTCATTAACATCAAACACCACGCGACGTCTTTGTAACACTAATAAGAGACTGCTCTCCTTATCAGATTGAGAAGAGACAGCGAGGCGGTAGCACAAAGGCCCGCGGCGTCCTGGGAAGAGACCTCCCGAGAAGGAAGAGATAGCGTAGTGACTACATCCAGCGGCAGCGCATCTAGCAGCGAGACTTTAAAATGGCACGGCTCGATGTCGGATGTGAGCGTGTCGAGCGGTATGCCACCTCGCCAAGGGGCATCGGATCGATGGCATCATGGATCCATGTCGGACGTTAGCAGTGTGAACGGCGGGATTCTAACTCAAAAACCTAGCAACGGTTGCCACGAGAAGTGGCAGAGTTCCATGAGCGATGTCAGCACGTCCAGAATGGACTCGCCGGCGAAAGGAAGGCACAGCCTTGACAAATGGCAGACTTCGATGAACGATCGAAACAAGCAGGGACAAGGCAGACCCAGCTTGCCGGCGGTCATCGGCCACTGCACAACGTCCACGTCGATTAATGATATCTGTCAGACGTCGGCGGTCCGCGAGAGCAAGTGGCAGGAGTCTAATATCGATGACGATTCGCTGAACGACAGGTCACAAGCGGGTCATCCGTGGGACAGTTCGGGCAGACTCGAAAACGACAAATATGTTCAACCGATGCCGCAAAGCCCCACGCGCCAGCCAGCTGGAATGGCGAGTCCGCAGAGTCCGGAAAATTGGAATTCGATACACGGATCGATGTCCGATGTGAGTCAAACTAACGGAATTCAATGCAGCAAGCAGCTGATCGCTCACAGCGCGAGGGTGCAGACTCCTCAGCGGCATCATTCGGAAAGTGTGTTGTACTTGGATCGGGAGCGCAATCAACGGAAACTGTATCCTGTCAGTACGACGCAGCCGCAAGAATCCACGCAATCTTCAAGGTACATTCATATTTTTTTCACAAAGTTAATCATATTTAAACATTGAACCGTGAATGATACTACTTTCTTTTTTTTTAGAATGACTTTAAACTCGCCGTCGCAACCACAGCTTTCGGTAGCTGAGCGTATCAATGAATTGGAAAAGCAGCAGCAGCAACAGATGCGTTACACTTATTTAGACCCAGAGAAACGCCATAGGGTGTCCGATCCTACTTTGAAAGCGATACAAAAGAAAGCGTTATTATCTTTTTATGAGAGACACCAAGCGTCTTGGAGATCGGAACCTCAGTTGACTCAGGGCTCTGCGCCAGCTTCTCAGAGTCCCCAGAGTCCTCAGAGTCCTCCGCCGCAACCTCCTCCTCGACCGAGGTTATCCTCGTCCCGAAGAGCCAGTTCAGCGTCCGACTACGCGAGTGGTACATGGAGGGAAAGAGCTCAAAATCCAGAAAACGGCGACTTGCCGAATCCCAAGCATCAGCATAGCAACAGTTGCAGCAGTCTCTCCACGGACTTGTTAGGTCCCGTGATAGTCGGACCAGTCATATCGATAGACGACTGGGTGCCCGAGAGGCCGCCTAAAAAGCCACACCTGAGAAACGTGTACAACGAACGTATGCCCAGCCCCGACTTGCCGCCGCCGTCGCCGCCGACGGTCACGGAGAACGAGGTCCACGACTGCGACGATCCACTGCCGCCCCCACCACCCGAGCTCAGCGACGATTGTTTCGCGGAGACTCGTAAGTCCAACAACATTCACCACCAGACGGAGGAAACGGCAAAGATCAGTCGTGATAGGTCATGCGAGCGATACAAATCGGAAAGACACTCCGTGAAAAGATCCAAACACGGCATCAAGAGAGATCACGATAAGTCGACTGGCAAATCCTCGCCGAATTCGACGAAATCGGGCGCGCAGGAACAGGAAGATCGGCATCAGTTCGGCAGATCGTCCGCCGTGAAACACGTGGATACCGAAATGGTGCTGGAGAACGGAGTGTCGGCCGGATTCGCTACGCACAGGATGGTAGCGACAGGACGTTCCAGCTTGAGATATCCCTCCACTCAGAAGCTTATGGTGAACGGAAGGATAGCGCCGACGAGGAGGATATCGGAGGAAAGATCTTTCGCAGCGAGACCGCCGGCGCAGCTGCCTGATCTCATATCGCAGAGATACAGCGACTCCGGGAATCAGCGACCCGCCCCGCAAGTTCCGGTGGAACCGAGGATTATTCGGCAGGAATCGATGCGAGTCGACGGTACCCGCGTCGACGCGTCCGGTTTGTTAAGAAGCGATTCCGGCCAGAGATTGGAATCTTCTTCAGGTCAGAGACCGCAACCCCAAGTGCCTAAAAGCGCGGAGAAAAACGTCACCGTGGCTCCGTCGTCGCGACCGAGTTATCTGTCGGTGACGGAGGCCGCGAAGACTCCGTCCAAGTACGTGAAGAGCGGAAATCACAGCTTCTCCCTCGGCAGCCCGGTGAAAACAGGATACGAAGCCAGCTCGAAACTATTCCCCTCCGAGTCGAGTCCGCAGAAATATCACGAGCCGCCGAAATACGTTCCTAACCATCATCAACGTCCCAGCGACGTGACGCAGAGAAATTACTACGCGCTACCGCCGAAGTACGTCGATCTATCGAAGCAGAAACCTCAGCCGCAGTGCCCGACGACAGAACGATACAGCGCGGACTCTCCCAGTTCTCCGCCGCCGCCTTTGGCGCCGCGGCAGAACACGCCCGGCAGAAAGTCCTTGCCGCCTCCGCCGAGACCCGCACCTCCGCACGCCCATCAAGGGTAAGTTTGATTGCACAATTTCTTTGTACGTTCGCTTCATATTACTTCGTGTATATCAATTACGTGTCATCTTTAACAAACCATCTTCGATGAATGCCACATTAAATTGTAAGGACACGCATAACGGTACTTCCTTATTTAAACTTTTCGACGATGACAATCGCTATTAATGATACAGTTAACATTCACTTTTATCATCGGAACTTGTTAGTGTCCTCGGAGACACGAGTTTAACTTTTTTTTCCGTGCCGCTCGTACTGCGATTATCAATTATTAAAGGTCTTGAGCGGGTTAAAGCGTTTGTTGCTGAAATGGCATCGCGTAATTTAAGATACAGGACACACACGATCCCGTAATTGCAATATAATTGAATGGTAAATAGCTGCCTCCGTTGCCGAGTACAGCATCGTCATTATAGTTGCAATGTCTCCTTGCGCTTATCCCGCGATCGATCAATTGAATTAGAGGTAACTATAAGTACACCTTACTCTGCGTGGTCGGTGCGGCTTGCGAAGATCGTCAGGAAAATCCAAAGCTCCGCGCAAACTGATCTCGAAAACCCTCGAAGCGTCTCTTACGCGTATCAATCAACGGCAACCACGCACAATCTCAGATCGTCCGCAGACATAATTTGTGACTCGTTGGTTCGTCTCGCTGTCTTGACATAGATAGACTCTATATAATTTTCCGCAATTACTGTTTCTTGAAGAATGAGAACAGAAGAAAAAATATAATTGGCAAAACCGTATGTCGGAACGGTACGTAATCCAAGAGATCGATACAATTAATTTCCATACATATTTAACGCAAAATGTACTTTATCGATCCGAATTATGCTTTGACAAGCTGCGTTCGTCGAGCCATTTACGCTCCGCGTTATCCAAATCATATAAATCGTGGAGCGTTTATAAGCGCCATTGCAACGTGAATTATGTCATTAGAAAACGTAATAGCCACATCGGCGTTCCTATAAAGCAGGATAAATGATCTATCGCTAATATGGAAATCAAAACGAGAGGGTTAACAAGATGCTGGACGAAAAAGATGGCCGTTTTTGTTACCGCTCCACCGGCGACGCAAACTCGTAAATCCCTCGTGAATCGCGTCATCGCCACTGCTAGTCCGGCGAACTCGGATTACCCCGGGGTCGTTAATTATTTTCTCGTTCGTTCGCTCGACCGAATCGCATACATTACCATGAGATTATCATTGCAAATCTAACGGTACTCGTGCCCGGGCTGATTTACAAGCATGTGACTTTCCCTGAGTTTACGTGCAACGCGGCTCTTAAATGACACGCCGACGCGCTACGAGCAATCTTGCCGTCCGGACCTCCCGAACGACATCGAGGCGTATTGAACACATCTGAGCGCTCCGGTGGATTTATCATAGCGAGTAGCGTGTCCAGCAGTTTGCGCGGCACGCTGGCTTTAAGCGATCGGCGCCTCATGAAAGAAGCAACTGTGCGTTAGTCTCGTATGTGCCGGTAGAAGGTGAGGTCGCGCGCAAAGTATATGCGCTTTCGCGAGAACGTAAGAAAGCCTTGCTCGTTGAACGCAATGGATGTATGCAAAGAGTATACGTTAACAAGCTCCGACGAGTGCGGCGTCGAGCGAACATTCTTGGAAGGCGAGAAGTCGGGCAAGGACGATTTCGCGCGACGCGAAGTAATTGTATGAAAAGCAGAACAAGACGTCTCGCGAGCCAAAGGAGCGGCGATAATGGCGAAGCGCGCTCTGTGACCCGACACCTCTTTATTCATCGATCCATGATTTTTCGGGCCACGGAGCACACAAAAGCCGATTGGAAGGAGCGAGGCTTTAAAGCGAAGAGCGGCAAAGACGCTGGGCGCCGGTGGACGGCGAGCTAACAATCGACTGATAATAATAATTGCACGCCGGGCCGAAGTTCTGCCGGTTAAGTTTTCCAGTTGGGATACAGGATGTAGGCTCGATCTCACGGGGCGATAACTCTTTTCACCTTTCTTTTGTTTCCTTCTCGCTCTGATTGGGTGACTACCTGCCTCCCGCAACGCACGAGCGGTCGTTCAACCACCCGATACGCACTCCGGCGAAGATGTTCCGAACCCGCGACACGGTTCGTCGAACGAACATTAGACTTGCGCCGACCTTCGACAGGAAGAAGAGATTATCCGGCGAAAGAGTGCCAGAAACGTTGCGGACGTTTCTCTCTCTCTCTCTTTTACTTTATCTCTGTTACTTCTCTTCGCGGTCGTGCTAGATATATTCGAGACCACGACGATTTAACCTTTCGAATAAACCAACCTACGAGGCAGAAATGTCAGAAAAAAGGTTACTGTGTGCCACCACGGGCGTGTTGTTGGCCTGTACTTCGGTGCTCGATCATGTTTTCCGCAGCGCCCGGCGATAGATGACGAGGTGCGGCGCCGTACGGTACGTCTCGTGATAAATTAATAACTCGGACAGTGATCTCATATTTATGTCCGCCTTTAAGCAATATATCTCGTGCGACATTTTCATTAATTGCGCAAATTTTGCATTACCGTACAATATTTTTGAGTTGCATAGCGCAGCATCGCGATGCTTATGCTTTGCGAGTCCGACGTGAAATTATGCAACGATAAACGATCTTTTTTTGCGAACGCATTCGCAAAAGTCCGCAGGAATGTCTAGGGCGCCGGTAAAAACGCTCCCGCGCGCCTCTAATTGCGATTCAGATTTATGCAAGAGGCGGGCGTTCTCTTTCTTTGCTCTCGCCGATAGTCGGGAATTACGCGGCGACCCGCGGCGTTATCGCTAATCCTCGTTACGCGAAACACGGGTCACCGAGTCGTTTTCACTTTTCGTCGCGCCGCGACAAAAGCACCTGCGGCGCGATAATTGGCCTGTGAATTCCTGCTCGAGCATTATGGATCCGTATCCGCGGCGCGGCGTTTTCCTTCCCGGAGAGTCGGATCGATTCGGGAGGTAATGGCAACGCGCGGGTAATGGCAACGAGGAAAAAACGTGGATTCGCGAGTCAAACGGTATATCGAGAGTCGTAAATCAAGCGGCGTTTCTCGTTTAACGACTCGGTTGCTGGTATCGCGTTAAACTCATCGCGAGTAGCAATGATGATTGCATTCGGCTGCCTCGCCTCTCTTCTTCCTCTCCTGCCTTTTTCCAGTTTTGCTTTACGACTTAAAGTGAATTTATTAATAAGCTGTCTAAACGCTGTTTTAGTACCGCTAAATTATTCTGTAAAGGTATTTTTTTGTTGTTGAAAATTTATAATCATTATTAATCGCTTATATACGAAATGATAATAATTCACAAATAAATTTATTCCTTTTACTAAATAATAAGTGTGGAGGTAATTTCGGTAGAAGATAGAAGATAATTTTAAATAAGATTTCGCTTTGAATTGCTGGAACTTTAAATAATTGTCGTAATGGAATAAGTCTCATTTTACCGCACTGGTATCTGTAGTCATATGCTCGCGGGAATACCGCGATCTCGGCGACGGGGTAGTCGACACCCAGCGATGACAACGACGCCGAGTATCGCTTACACTTGTTCTCGTCGTCGAGATTTTCTCTCCTACATACTCGGATAATTCTGAATAAAACTGGACTCGCGACGGAAAAAATACATATCACATGTCACGTTAGAAGTACACTTGAATCGTATCATAGTGTAACTTCTTACATCTTAATTAAATGTCTCTCACTTGATTAAGAAAAAGTTGCGATTACTTCAAAATCTGTTTCCTCGTTCAGAAGGAAATGTCACCTTGGGGGAAAAAAAATCTATAAATATTAGAAGACAAGTAACGATGAGACATCGCGCGTGATACGTTTTATCGATAATCTGCTTTTATCTGTAAGACATTGATAGACATTTCCTAGGTGTGGTCGCAAAAATGCACACTCGGTGTGATGTAATGTATCAGTTTCTCAATATGAAGAAGAAATAAATAACAAAATAAAATCTCGCATTGCGTTTATCGGAATAATTGCGACAGAGATCATTTCGCTCTACCAATGCTGAATATAAAAGCGGTGAAACTTGATTTTTGCGGAGCGCCCATTGCAACGTTTCGCCGGCAGTTGATATATTATTGGACAATAATGTTATGAAACTAGAGCAAATTAGATTTGCGTTATATCGCGTTATTGACGTGTCGGCGCCGTTCTGCCTGTAATTGCTATCGATAACTTAAGTACCATTAAGTGGAAATAAATGGCATAGTTACGCTCGTGTTCTTGTTTTGCCTGAGATATAAGAGACGCACAGGTGTAAAAGAACAGAAAACCTTCCACGCCTTGTAATGTCCTTCTTTGTACGCGGCAAGACTCGTTCGGTGACTCGCTTAGAAACTGGGTTAATCGCATGCAATCGTAGCTAATTTTAAGCACGTTTAGCAGTGATAGTGGTAATACCAGTAGTATCTACGTTCATTATCGGAATATAATTAAGATTCAAGAAGAAAATTGCGCGGAATCGCTAAATTTATAAATCATGCAGATAATCTCGTACAATTTGAGATAAAAAATGCGCTACTAACACACATAAAATAATCATATAATGTTATGATCTTGATTTCAAATATTACATATTATCAGAAAGAGTTCAGCGTTTCACTAAATAATGTTTTATTTCGATAAAAATATCAATGAATCAAAACAATTCGCGAATAACGTATAAAATCGAAACGATAAATGTCTAATTACTCCTCGCTACTGTTTCATCCATTTGGACAAAGATCATTACGCTCGACTTCAACGAGCTACCGAGCATATCGTCCTGTTTGTGACTCGCCGTCGAGGAAACGATTGCACCAAGGAAGCACAAGTGCAACGACGACATGACAGCAAACAACAAACGAAACAGCCACGAAGACAATAGCCAGCGGCTCGAGACCGGACGACACCGGACACGAAGTCACGGGACCGTCTCGCGGAACGGTATCTCCTCGACAACACAGTTCGCTTTACGACTAAATGATTAACACAATTTGTTTGCGCGGCAGTTCGCAAA